AAATCAAATCCGAAGAAGCTCAGCACAGTGCACAGGCTCTGTATCACCGGCGAGGATCCATAAATACTTTAGGTAGATTTGTAACTGACTGATCAAAGTAAGGTTGGTGCCAGGTAATCTGAAATATTAAAGCTAATACACACCACTGTCAAAGAACGTGATATACTTGCCACTTATGCTGCTTTTACAATGATGCATAAAGTATTTCCACTTGTCATATTTTGGTTTTTCTATGCATTATTTTAAGCCATCTGACTGCCAATAATATATCAGGGCTATTTAACTGGCAGAATCCGGCCAGCAGGAGCCTATCAATTAGCCCGCATATCTTTGCAAACTGTACTGCATTAATGATCTTTCTATGCTGAGGCTATAGCCTCTGGCCCATTGATGATCCCCATTCTCAACATGCTGGCCCATAAGTAAACTTAGTTGAGTAGACATAATGAATAGCATTCGTCGCAGCTTAAAAATCTTATTTCAAGTCCCAACAGCAAAATCTAAGTTCTCATTTTCAAGTTCCTAACAATTTGTTTTTTTTAATAGTACCCTTTTCATTCTAAAAGAATTTCAATTTCTGTGTCAAGCAGCAGTAATATCAAAAGTAAGCGAACTTCGAGTTAAATAAACATCATTATGAGATATTCTTGAACAGAATAAAAAGACTGCAAAAACATCAAGTCAAAGCTTTGAAGAAACCTTATAAAATTAACAAAACTGCTTTAATGATCTCAACAACAAAAAGACAGTAAAAGAACCTCAGTCAAAGGAAATTTACAAGAGGAAATAACTGTGTTAAGGCTGAGATTAAATCAAAACAGTGGATAGAGATAATCTGTAATGGATGACTGTAAGTTGTGCAAAATGAAGGGTACAATAAGGGTTAGCCAATGTGTCAACAGCAATATACCAGACAACATGCAAGCCATGAGTAGCCCACGACCATCAAAACAGGTGGCCACCACTGGGATTCAGGTTGCAGATCTACATGGCACTATTAGACGAGATAGTTGCTGACTGGAATAAAAGACTAAAATATCTATATAAATGATCAATGAAAGATCTAATAAAGAAGTGTTCAAGACTAGAACATGATGTTTTTACCTGGGACGGTCTACTCACAGAAGGAATGAATAACTGTCTAAGCAACATAGAGGCATGATAAAACATTTAAATATCTCCTGATCAACAGCTGATATTTCTTTTACCTTACTTCTAGCACATTTTTGAGTTCCATAGGCCCCTAAACAACCCCCAACTTATACAGACTGAAAGATCGGAAATGCACCAGAAAAAAGCAAGATATGGTGGCTGGTGTCAGTGGTACACAACAACTGGAAAACAAACCAGATTCTCAAACTCTGCATTTTAGATTCCTGTAGACAGCATGTATTTGGAAGATGCAGTAGAACATCTACCAGTATGATGATTTATTCCTGCCTTCCTATGACATCTAGCAATAAAAGAGAAAGGTAACACTGAGGTGCTACTGCTATTACTATTTTCCTACTGATCATTGTCATTCCACCCTTATTTCACATAAGAAAGATAAATATTCAGGAGAAAGCCACCAGAGTTATTCAACAATACACAGCTCAAATAGTTTTCTAACAAACTGTCAGGTTACAAACACATAAAAGTGTAACAACATATCACTGACAAATGCTATTTGAAAACTGCCGAAATGGTAGGCATGGGGGAAAGACAAGAAGGGTGATATGAGGTCCAACATAGCAACAACAGACAATCTCTGGATATGTCAAAACTTTAACAATTGTATGGTCAGGGCTACTGTGTGGTCATTACAACATTCAACAATGTGTTTTTGCTAATTACTCTTTGACAAACACCAGACAAAGCTATATCTACAACAATCACATTCAAACATACAGGATTAATTTTTCAGTCCTCCCCTAGAATGGCATTTATTTCTCCTCCAAGATGTCAGCTTCTTAAATCAGTGACAGATTCAACTCCCTCTTTTATTGTTTTATCATTCCCATCGAATATTCTTTAACTATTGTGTAACTAAAGTTTTACATCCATTCTAATGATTTTAAATGTCTATCGAAGTGAACATAATCTGGCCAGTGATGACTTCTTTTGCTTGATCAGCATGGATAGTTCTTTATTCTACACCTTAGAACAGGGCACAATGAACAGTTCATCTAAGTAGTTCACCATTGTGCCCAGAGGTTGTGTTGTGCAATGCACACTGGTCAGGTCCAGCAAGACTGTCCCTTGCATAGTGCATTAAGGGAATACTGGCCCAATGAGTCAACACCATACTCAAAGTTGAACGGAACTAAAAGAGAGCTCAAAAAAAAAAAATATCACTAGAACTCATTTGTCAGTGTGAATCAGAAAGTGATCATGTGAAGACCATATTAAATGATTAACTTCCCAAGAGGAGAGTGGATTTTGAATGAGCACATGCAATGATGTAATCAAAAGACAGGAGTTATTATAACTGATAAACACGTTTCAAAGTTGGCAAAAGAGTTTCAGTGTACAATGGAAAGACACTAGGGAGTCATGATCCAGATACGCCTGCCCTCTGAGAATGTTAAAAATAAAAAAAAGGAGAAATGAGTTGAAACATTTTATAGTAGGGGAACTTGTAAGGTTTTTAATTAACCGCTCACCTGTAGGCAGCTTTAATGGCAGAACTACTTTCAGATATAAAAGGAAAGATGACCCTAGTATCCTGACTTGCCATGGAAAATGCAACTTATGTTCTGTCCATATCCTCTTCCTGCACTACGTGTATACACAAGTTGCTACTATTCAGGAATGTTATGGATTTTTCTGTCAAAAGACCTCACTCTAGATAAGTTTATGTAATCTTATACGTAACTAATTGTCAGTTTTTGCTGTCTGCTGATGAAGGCTGCAATATTCATGTGTCATTTATGAAGCTGACTAGCTATACATCTTGTTTGGATCAATATTTTTGTTAACACTTTACTGGACAACGATTACAGGACAACATCAGAAGGAAACATGTTCTGCAGCCCCACCACTGACATGCTCAGACAGCACAGGTCAACATACAAATTACTGACTAGACCTTTATCATTTCAGGCACAATGCAACACAAGCTAGTACTAACACACTTTCTACTTACTCATAGATTAGACAGATACTGCAAATAACAGAGGCAACTTAATTTTTGTTTAAAATACAGGAGTTGACCTCAAATAGCTCACTTTAGTCTCATCACAGCTACAATGACACAAATCTTGCACCCATTCTGTCAGTACTTCAATTTCAGATTTGCAACAAAGATAAGTTTTCAACCATAACACTTTTATTAAAGACATCCTACAGTGTTTGTTCTCTCAGAACATAAGTGTGTGGCCAGTTAAAACAATCTTACAATACAGGAAAACTTGGAAGAGTTCAAAATAAAATGAACTTCACCTGGAATATCTGTGATATTGCTTAAAGTAAAACCGAATATTTGCAAGGGGGAACAATAGCCTTACTTCCATAAAGAAAACACGCCTGGGAAAAAAAAACATTTGTAAATAATTAAATATAGGGCCCCTTTTTTTTTACTTAGTTGCTTATTTTAGCACAATTGTTTTCCGGCCCCTCACGCATTTGATAACTGCCCTTGACAATGCCAGACCAGAATCCTTTATTGTGTACATTTCATGATAGCCTCCCTGTGTGAGCTGGAAGTGGCTGGGCTGACCTGGAAGTGAAGGTTAGTGGGAAAACAAACTTATCAAAATGATTACACATTACCAGGTGACCGAAAGAATAGCACGTAGTCACCAAACAATAGTTGCTCATAGGTAAACTTTACTGCATTTAAATCTCCATGGCGGTTTATGTATCTGGTAATTTAAATCAAGTTCTATTCTTCTGCATCGATCCTTCTGTCAGAAAACATATATCAGGAGGCCGTTAGCCTTTAAGAAAGCTATTGTACAGTCCACATCTCCTCATGTATCATCAGTACCTAATTTATGTGTAATGTGAAAATAAAAAGCCTACTAACTTAGCAATTGCTGGTGCCTGCTGGAAAAATTATGTTAAAGCTGTTTTTTAAGCCTATCTAAAAAATGAGACCAGTAAAATACAGTAACAGTGTAGGATAAACAATTAATTCATTAAGCATCTGCAAGATGACAGTCATAGTATAAAACAACACAAGAAATAACATAAAACGATAATAGACTGGCTTGTACATTTAATAAAAGTGTGAACAAAAAAATTCTTTTTAGCTCAACTGCTAAAAATAAACATGTTAGCACAACAAAGGACGTACTTTACAGAAATAGGATCAAAGGTATACAAACAATGATAAAAAAGATATCTCAACTGAAGGTGTTTAAACAGCATTCAGATCATGATTCTTGGGTCATCCAACTATATGAAATGAGACAATGATTTGAGGACCATGCAAGGATAAAGCTTTCATACACATTAAGATGCTTACTAATTTATGCAGAAGTAACAAATCTCACATCCTCCTTCAGTTCAACCAACCAGACACAACACAGCTTGCTCACAACAGTTCAATTTGCTGGTGACTACCACCTAACTAATCACATTCTGCGACAAGTTTAACAATACTGATATTGACAAATGCAAAACATCCACTATGCACCAACCAACTTGCAAATCTTTCAGGCTGGAATGCAATGAATATTTCATTTTTATTATTATTTTATTTTAAATGACACCTTGTCAATTTGAAATAACACTGCAAATGCACACATTTCTGGGTACCCGTCTGAATATGACCAATCTAAGGACTGTGTTACCCCCGACCTGACAGGCGAAGCCTTGTTGGTTACCACAATGGAAGCACCAGCAAGGGCACTATCTGAAAGGAGCACTTATCTCAGGTGCACTTAAATGTCAGACAACACAGCTCAAAATGCCTGGGTGATTTTTTTTAAAAGGACGCCAGAGGGGGCCACTATTAAATGTTCCAGAGTGTGGGGGTGACTGATAAATTAAAATACCACTATCCATGACCTTGGTTAATCTTTACTAGAAAACACATATAAATTATTTGTTGCGGCTATTGCAACTATGTTTTCCAAAGGATGCCAGGCAGTGTGAAGAATTTTCTTATTGAAGTCTAAACAGTCAACACTTATTTCATCCTTCTTCCTCTTGCCTCCTGATGAAACTTTCCTAGGCTTGAGTACAGTTTTTGGTTTGGTTATTTCTCTACATGCTTCCAATGTACAGTCTCTCTTATTGTCTCGCTCAAACATTCTGAAGAAGTTGTTGTAGGAACCTGTCATTATATGCCTGGAAAAAAAAAAGATTTAAAATTTTTTATTTATTGATGAAGTAAACTAAAATCATCTCTTTATAGGCAAATACAAAATAATTCCTCATGTAAAAAGTACATCAGTCGGTGACTGATAAATTCTCTAGAAGTCACTCTCAAGCCTGACACATTTAATCAGGTAATCTTGAGCTTCAAGGTGCCTGCATCTATTGAAGTGAGGCTGGTGTAGAGATGTTTATCCCAACCTGGGCACAAAGCACCATCTCCATGGGGACTACTCCAAGTCCACTTTCCCCTGTCCAAGCTCAGAAACAAGCAAGGCATGAAGAACGGTACTGGGACCCCACATTTGACACAAGCATTTCAAGATGCAACCAGGTCTTGTTTTAGCACAGCACACATGGACTAGCTGGGATTAGACATGGCTGGTATCCTCTGTAGAATTTTAGTACTTCCATGTCAACATACACTCAACAGCTGGAGGATAGCAACATGCATCTCACTGTAGACTTTTCTCGAGAGCTCTTATTAGCGTTCACTGCCTGTTAACTCCAAACCAAAGTTCTGGTTCTTCATCCACTTCTAAACTTTGATAGAGTTTCAGAACTTGTTTTGTGCGCACATTTTATGCAGATTGCTGGTTCCTGCTTTTCAAGCAGATGCACTGGGACTTCCAAGGAAACACCTCTGTCAGTTAACTGGGGGGATGGATGTCTATTCTTTTTACTTGCCCGAAAATTTGACCCTAGAACCCAAGAGGGCTAATGTCATTAGAACAAAAGTTGTAGATTTATCTCAATCTGATCAAAAGCTGTAAAAGAATGTTTAGTTTATGCATGCAAGGTCCGGTCCACTAGTGTTCTGTTTTCAAACTCTTATTATACATCATGTAGTACCCACACACAAAAAACTCATTCATCCAACATTTATATTAACTGTAGTATAGTATTAGTTACTGTTGGTTTCAGTCTTCATGTATTTTATTGGTTTACTTTCAACTATTTCAGAGGCAAGCATACATTTAATAATGAATATTGCACACATTAATTCAGAATATTCTGATCTGACCATAATTTCAAGAGTTCCTTAACAGGTTAAGAAAAGTAATTTTTAGAAGACCAACAATTTTCATTCGGCAGAGGACACAACAAATATCTTCAGCAAGAAGATGCCTGAGAACTGGCAAGGTACCGAGCACCTTTCAGGCAGGCTGTGATAGGAGCGAGGTTCTGTAAAGAACTGCTACATGATAATGATCTAATGAGTTAGACTTTCACTTCAGCTACAATATATTCCAGACAGAATCTATGATAGTGGTTATCTTCTTTTTTCACTTCCTATTTTACCACTTCGTCGGCTCTGTGGCTAAGTCGATGCGAACACTACGCTTCGTAATGCCGGGTTCGATTCCAGCTGCGGGCAATGCGCCTTGCGTTGGTTTCGACAGTGGTATCAAGAAAGCCGACCGTCCAGAAAGCAATGGCAAACTACTGGACGTAAATTTGCCTAGAGAAACCATACAACAGCCAGGGGCTGTTAGGGTTGGTTCTGCAACGTTCTGTAAAAGGATACGCAACAACCTAAATTTTACCACTTTGGATTTTAAAAAAATATGCGCTGTAAACATTTGGCTCGCTACTATGGATATGGCAACCCTTTGGCCTTGACTTAATGACAGGTAACATAAATCTCGGGGATATTTGGTTTTTCTGCCTACCCCTGGGCGTGAACCTGGACCACAAGGGTCGAGAGGGATATAAAGTTGCTTTTTGCTCTTCTTGACACTTCGATCATAGCCACAATATGCTGTTGTAGAGATGCAATGTTATCTTTCCATCTTTTTCTTGGTCTACCTTGTGTTCTACGTCAAAGTGGTACCCACATGAAAAGATCTGTGTTTAACTGGCTACTCTATATACATATATATATCTTCTAAAAGTCCATGCTGTGTGGCGTTGGCAGTCATGTCTATCCACAACCTTCTGCCTCGTGTACTTTTCAATCAACTCTGATGCAGTTGATCTTCCATGACGACGAGAGAACAGATGCTGGACAGCCTGACATCATATATATAAACGTGCAAACAAATATTGATCTAACACTTGAAATTTCCTTGAAATAACTGACAACATATAAACTACATGAATACAAACAAAGAACAGGACAGACTACTTACTTGTCATCTCCACTCCATGAGCATTCAAACTTGTCAAATATACAGTCATTTTCATAGAGTGAACATAATTTATTTCTGAGGTATTCGTGAACTTGGTATGTTTCCACTGGCTTGCTCTCCATATTCAAGTCCCAGACTTTGACAGATAAGTAATCCCTAGTTGTCATGTAACGACCACTGTGGCTAAACTTCACATCTGATATACTGGATATGATCTCGGAGAAGAAGCTCCTGTTGGTGGGATCTTCAGGTTCCTCAAATACTTAAAAATAAAAAGTTGAAAAAAAAAATTTATTATGCTATAAAACAAAAATGGAAAAACTGTTAAACCAATTTCAACTAAAGCAAATAATTTCTGTTGACAATAAAATATTTAATAAATTTTACAGCTTACTGATGGCTAGCTATATTTCTAACTGATGCAATGTCAGTCCAGTAAAAGAAAAATGTTAAGCTTTACATGTGCATCAGTTTTACAGATCTGTCATGTCTGACTTGTACGCAGACAGTTCCTTGCCTCTCAGGCTGATGCACTCCAACTTTAAAAGAGAAACACCCCAAATAAGTCGCCTTTTACGGCAGCATATCAGGGGTTTATTCCCCCTCCATAACAAATGGGGCACCGGACTCACATGGAAAACTTTGGGGACTGAAATAAGACCAGACTTAGCAGGTTAACTATTTTTGGCACAAACAAATGAGCAGTAATAGGATTTATATTCTGAATATAAGAATAGTGTCTCGGACTAGGTATCAATGAGTTACCCTGATTAAGAAGTTGCTACGTTTGTTTCTCAGCAAGGAAGGGGCTAAGAATTTGTACAAGTAGTCATCTAATGATATACAGATGACATTTTGTTTGTTTTAGTATCCAGAAGCCATGAGTTGTTAACCCTTAGGCTCGGTATTATGGATATCGCAACCTTTCGGCCTTGATTCCATTGTAAATACCGTAAATCTGGGAGAAAATGTGGCTTTCCTGCCTACCCCCGGGATTGAACCCGGACCACAAGGAGTACGTCACCCGGTCTCCGCGAAATCCGGTTTAGCCAATTCTGCTAGAGAGCCGGGCAGATGACATTTTAAAAAAAGTATGAAAATCAGCAGATGTTGCCTATCCTAAAACTCCATGGGTCCTTTGCAGAACGTTGCTCTAATCACGGTCTGCTTGAAAGAAAGTCGATCTCTTGCCAGCTCTCCCGCCCAATTGTACTTTCATACTCAAGGAGTCACTTATATCCTGTGCCCATCTTTGTGTTGGTAGGCCCCTCCCCCTCCTTACTGGTACCATGCCTTTTATTATTTATTTCCAATCCGTCGTGGTGCTTGATATGACCAAAATATTTGAGCTTCTGAGACAAGATGCTGTTTATTAGCCAGCCAATCTCCTTGATGTTCAGACCTTTCAAGATGTCAGTATCAATGGAAGATAGAAATATAAAATATACCAAGGTTCCAGTGCTAGGGGTTCATTAAATAAATAAAAAAATATTTTAAAATGCAAGGGGAGATAGAACACAATATTGATGGAGTCTGTTATAAGTGTGCACCAAAATCAAACGCAAGGATTGTTAAGTCTATAATTAGATGTCAAGCATTGGAAAGGAGAACAAAGAAGTGGAGAAGCAGCTAAACTCATTGGTAATCTGATTCTAAAGAACATTACATAATGCAGTCAAAATATATTCACATCCACATGTACCGTGACACTGATGATCATGCCTGTCATAAAACAACTATCAGCATCATGGACTGAAGATGGTAGTTTGCCACTGCTTCCTTCTTGGCAGTGACCATGCTGGTGGAATGATCATAGCCACTGTCACTAGAGCATGATTCTCTACCCAGTCACAGAATGCGATACCATTATTAACAACTGCCAGGCGGTCTGTCTCAATCCAGTACTACTACCACGGTTTCACATTTCTCTGACAAGGCAATTACAACAGGTACTCAAACACCCTGCCCATGCGTGTCCCATAGGCTATACAGAGAGAAGGAAGAAAGTCTTAAAACAGTACACAAACCCACATTTAGCATGTTTTTCCCAGAGTGAACACTATGCAAACTTAATTCTAGCATGTTTTTACATGAACTTAATTCTTGCATGCTTTTCAGAGTGAACAGTAAATAAACTTACTTCTAGCCTGTTTCTCACAGTCAGCAGTACACAAACTTACTTTTAGCATGTTTATCACAGAGTGCCTGTTCTCTCATGTCACACAGCCGTATGCTCCCCTTACTACTGCTGTACACAAACATGTTGCACTCCTTGGGGTGAAATTCAGCAGCTGTTATTACTTCTGTGAGTTCTTCCATGTTAGCAGGTTTAATATCAACAATATCTTGATTTATGTTAAAGATTATGATCTGATATGCTACTAATTAAATTATGTTCAGATAATTCATCACTGATATAGACTATTTAACAAAATTGATGACAAATGAAGTGGGGGTGTTGTTCAAGCTTCAGTTATACATTGATCTTTTTTTTCAATGCAACTGCATAATCAACCAACCAGACAAAATAGGGTTACTTTAAGAAAAGCCTGTGGAATTATCTAATAATTTCAGCCTAGTAGTATTTGACATACCACCTTGCACCAGTATAAAAGCAGCTATTTTTGTGAATAGACTGCACACACATATACACATAAGCCGCTGGTAAATTTTTAACACTTAAGAGCTTTGGAAAAAAAAAAAAAAAAGCAGATGGAGATGGGAAAAAGAGATGAAGCTAAACTAATGTCAACAAATAATAGATGGTAGAAATAGCAAGCCACAAGTTGATGTTTAGTAAAACTACTTATAAAAGACAGCAGTTGTTGTCAACCCAGCTCAAAATGGTTATGAGGAAATGTCATGGGAAGCAATGGCTAGTGTGATAATGACCACATTATTCACCGAGTGCCTACTGGTCCAACAGCTCACAGAAGCCAGCTGCAGGCCTCGGAAATGAGATACCTGAGAAAGGTGGTCCAAGTGACAAGAAGGGACAAAGTCCGCAATCAGACAATACGTCAAGATCTTGATACCCAGCCCTTACTAACCCGAGTGGATCAGTCACAGTTACGATGGTTTGGACATGTGTGCAGAATGGGAGAAAATCGGCCACCATGGCAAGCATGGGAGGCTAAGAACCAGGGAACCAGACCTCCGGGACGACCCAGGGTGCGCTGGGAAGACAACATCCGACAGTCCCTGACTGACAGAGGACTGGAATGGAACAAAGCCAGAAAGAAAACTGCTGATAGAGACGTCTGGCGATCTCTCTGGCAAACCTCTACACCCCAAGGTAGAAGAGGAGCGACTAAGTAAGTAAGTAAGTGCCTACTGGTCTATAAATATATGGGTCCAGGATCATATGTCCAATGCATAACGGTATGAACATGGACCTTTATTTACAGCAGTGGTGTATTACAAATGTTGTTCTGTATGGTTATTTACAAAGACAATTAATTATTCCATACTGCTATTTTATTATGTATGCCTTATTCACATATAAAATACTCCATTTTCAAGTTGAAAGCTGAGAAAATCAGCTACATTCAGCAATGCACAGGATTTTAGCCCACACAGCTTTTCTATCTACACAAAAGCACTGCACATTTCATTAACTACTTAGTTCCAGTGGCACCCCCCCCCCCGTTCCGCATATCTTGCCAGACATCCAAAGACGAAACAAGCAACAGATAATAGAGGATACTAAAACTCTGGTCTGTAATCTCAAGATTCCAGAGGTTGATGCGAAGATCATCAGCTGATAAGTAAGTTTCCAAATCGCTGTTGACTGAGATGGAATTGATGTGATAGGTGTGTGCATTAGCAAACACACGCTTGGGACTAGCCTCCACCATGAGTTCCATGGGCTGAAACACTGGCACCCGAAGTGCTGTGATGGAGGATTTATTTCGCTGTTGGCCCATTTCATCCTTTAGGTTGTAACCCTCGGGACGCTTGTTACGTTCAGCCACCTTCCAGAGCTTGATTGTCTTGTCTGAAAGAGAACAATAAAACTGTTTAAACATTTGTATTTGTTACCACTGGCGCACTTATCAATAGTACAAAATGAGAACTATAGCTTTTGTTTAACATTTATATTAAAGCTTACCTTTTCTCTTTCTCTCTCTCTTTCACACAGGCAGGCATATAAATAAAAAAGGCTGCTGTCATTCTTAAAGCAAAATAAAAATTGGAACATGAAAAATGAAAAGATTAATAAAAAGTCAAAGTGAAGATTACTGACAGGCTTTGCCAGTCACCAAAGCCTTTGATAACTAAAGTTCAAAGCAGGAGGGGAAAAAAAAAATCACCTAGGTAAAGATTCAACATCCCCGAGCATGCCTCGGTTCCCACAAAATATTCATGTGACTAACCATCTGTGAGCTCTGGATTGTTGCAACCCATTCCATATGAAGAAAAGCCTTCTGCACCTTCCTGAGCATGTTTTGTCAATACGATATGAAAACGTGTGGCTAAGATGTTCTTCACCCATTGGAGTGCCTTAATCTCCATTCTCATGCTGGATGTGGTAATGTATGCTAAGCTCTCTTTAGTTTTCCTCCCCAATGCTTTTGCAATTAAGCCCCATTCAGTTCCTTCCCCTGGCAACTGACCCATTAATGTATATAATCACATCTCCCAGCCTAGAGTTGTTTTTTCTCAGCTTTGAACTTCTGTATCTGAAGGTCCCACTGCCCATTCCCGTCTCAAGGTGGCAGAAAGATGACTGAACATGGAGGATGTTGAAGAAGAAACAAGAACAATAGTGCGTGCATTTTAAAGCTTTAGACAAAAATTTTGTTTTGCAAGGTATTTATTGCACTGACAACAAGGAAATGTGTTCTACCATATCAAATTGTAACATTTCTTCTTCATGTTCATTAGTAGTAAAATCCAGTTGAAGGTTTTGGTTGTTTGTCCACTTCTAGATTTAAGTCTTGTTTCACATCTTGCATGCACGTTTTACAGATCTGGTATATATATATATATATGCAGGGAGTTGCCGTGGCGGTGGTGGCCGGATTGGAAGGTTGTGGGTCGCATCCTGATAAAGCTAAAAAAAAATTTCAGAAATGACTCCGACTCCCAGTCTTGTATGGGTACCAGCTGAAGTCCTAGGAAGTAAAAGCGGCCAGCATGATGCTGCCCACACCACCCATCAAGTGCACATTGGTCTATAAAAATGTAGGTCTTGCCCTTTACTTTTTACTATATATATATATATGCAGACTGTTTGTTCCTTACATCTCTGGCAAATGTACTCCAACATGAGCAGTGGGTCTATTCTCTCCCTATATAACAGGGCTCTAAAATCCCCATGAGGAACATTTTAACACACAGCACAAAAGGGGAATATTAAAGTATATTCTCACCATTTGTAGAAAGAAGGAAATGATTTCTGTTTGTTTGGCGTAACCACCTTATTTTATTGATCTTTTCTTCAATTTCTAGACTTTTCAGGTAGTCAAACTCTGGCTCATGAGACTGGAAAGTGCTGTAAACATTGTACTCTCCTCGACTTGGCACAGCATTCTTGCTCTTGGGTGAAGAAACAATATCATATCATCAAGCAGATTTTATTAATGTAGCAATGATACTGCAATGATAAATGTAAAAAGCCTAATTACAAACGCAATCACTAATTTTCAGACTGGCTGCCTTAAAAAAAAAAAAAAACTACAAAAACTAACCTCAGTATGCAGCGGCAGTCTCCAACATAAATTACAAATAGTGGAAACAGCTTCTGTGTTCTCTACTAAAAGGGCATTCGGCATGCATTGTGACTGACAACCAGGATGTGACATCTGCACCTTTTGGGTCGACACATCCAATTACAGTAAATCCTCAATTAGTCACTTTTTATGATCTGCTGTTTGAGGGGTAGTGGGTCTATTAACTTCTCAATAAAATGTGGTCCTGGAACCAGAGGAGGCAAATACTGTTCACAAATATTGTAACTAAGTGCTAGCTGTCTGTCTAAAACAGGAAATAGGCCATAAGCATTGTGTCAATTATGGTTACTCTTCCAGTGCATACATTTACACACACAAAGTGTTTTGTCTCAGCATTCATACTGACCTCTCTTTTACTGCACTATTTAGTTCTATTACAGTAATGGCAACCTCATCACAGATAATGCTGTCAGAGTGTCGGGGTAGGACTTCACAAATTTTAGACATGGCCAGAAGTCCTTCACTTTCCATCCAATACAATTCCAAGAAAATGTCTTGAAACTATCCGGTATTCACTGTATGAAAACAGGTTGATCTTGTTCAGTCAAATAATTGTGTGACTGCTGAGGACAGAATCCAGACCTGTCTTGGCAGAGAACCACACTAACCAATTTAATTCTGTGGCTCCATGCTAGTTTACTAATCTTTCACTTCACTGATTGAGCAACGTCCATATTATCCAATTTCTACCAACAGAGTAAGTGGCAGTGGTTAAATATTAAGTAGCTACCCTATTCCCTTTTTGATAAGTAGCAAACAGGTTAGGATATGTCAGTCTTTCACAGCATTAATTCAAGCATACAAATAAACAAAATCTGTATAACATAAGCGTGCAAAACTCTAATTTAGGAACAAAACGGAAATCCAGAAGTGGACTAACAACCATAACTTTCCGCTGGAGATTAAAGCCGGGGAACACTAAGAAGAAGAAGAAGGATGCACTTACGGCTTTGTCTCTCTGAAAGATGACAACTCTGCCACCTTTGTCACCTGTAGCTAACAGCTCACCATCACTGTTGAATTCCACACAGGAAATTATGTCCGCTGCAAAATACATCCCTGATTTAGTGTATATATTAGAACACAGCTCACAGCAATGTTACAACAATCCCACTTATGACTGAAAGAGCAATTACTAACAACTCACTGTACAGAGTTAAACGACTATTGCTCTTTCCTCAAAAGCTAGTATGTATGTAACAAGGTTGTAGTTTATGAGAAGGGGTGGAGAAAATTAACAAATTATTTAAGAAGCACATTCTGTAGTGGATGCATACTGTCACAGTCATTTCATTACTACTTTTATTTACCCTTTTAGGGCCGTATAGGTATGGGAGTCTTGAGTCTGAAGATTTAGGGACGTATAGGTAGGGAAGTCTTGAGTCTGAAGATTTAGGGACGTATAGGTATGGGAGTCTTGAGTCTAAGGATTTAGGGACGTATAGGTAGGGAAGTCTTGAGTAAGGATTTAAGGACGTGTAGGTAAAGGGGAGATGTGACTCTGATTAAAGGACGTATAGGTAGGGGAGATGTGAGTCTGTAGACTTAAGTACGTATGGGTAGCGCAGTTACCTTGAATGTGCAGGTAAGGATTATTGTTGTTTCGTGCACAAAAATGACCATCTCTTTACTGAGTAACCAAACCTGATCTACTGGATGACACCCTTGGTGTTCTAACCATTCTGCCCTTTACTATAAACTGAACAAGTGTACTGCCAGCTGATGTTGCCAGTGGTATGCTATTAGATATCTACAGTAATTGTCAAATGTGGCAAATATCCTGCGTATCAATTTTTTTTCCAACTGTGCAATCTAAACATTACTTAACATCAGTATTCTATGTGCGTAAGTAACAGAAATAAAGGGCTTCTTTTATGTCCCTGGTGCATCAGGCATTGAGTGCTAGACCTACATTTGACAAACAAACTGGCACTCGATGGGTGATATGATCAACATTTTGCCAGTCATCTAGCAAGATGGAAGGAGTATGAACAAGAGAACTTGCCATTTCTTTTCAAGTGTATGAATGATTTCAGAGATTGGTTTGCTGAAGTCCAACTGCAGTGAAACAGAAGTGTACTATACCTCCCCTGCTATCTGACACAATTATTCACTAATGAAGAAACAAATAATCAAGAAACACCAACATCTGATAGACAAAAAAACTCACAACTGAAAGTTCTTGACTTTTCAGATGATACTGTTCTAAGTAGGAACAGCAAACGACATTCACAAAAAAAAAAAAAAAAAAATCATTGTAGAATAATGCATCAAAACTTGAATGAGAAATAAGTTTTAAACAGATAAAGACAGTTACACTTCAAGGAGGCATCAGTCTTGACTGCCAAGGAAATAAAAAGAAGAAGACTATAACATGCACTAGTAAGGCAGAGACAGCTTTTAAAGTTTTTAGCTCTTAATTATATAGTTCTATGCTTTCTGACTCAGTTACAATCGCGATGAGTATGTGTATCCTGTTCTCTAACCAGCAGAAAGCCGCAGCGACCGTTCCACCTCCATTTTTAAGCTGGATGTTGTATAATGTGCTAGGCTCTCCTGCATCAAATACTGACCGTTAGCTTTTGCTAAAAACTCCCAGCACTTTTGCCTCTTGATACTTAACCGTCTGACTATTAATAATCATATGAACGAGCTGTATTTTGTAATTGCTGAATTTGCACATCTGTGGCACGTGCTGGCCACTCACTGCATTCCAGGTTCAATGTGATTATGACTACACAAAACTGACCCACTCCTCTCCTCGCATTTATGCTCTCCAGGATGCAAACCTCTATGACCGTGTCCTCTGCCTGAGCTATCCCGGAGTGCTATCTTATCAGCCTCTGACCATTAACTGGGCATCTGCTTTGAACAAAGGGTAATCTGTGTCTGCAGCTACTCTGAGGTATAACTTCACCTGCAGCACCTTAAGCCTACCTGCAACAGTCAGCAAACCAAGCAGCATTGCCTACACATCACTGGGGTGTCTCTGGTACAGCCCAGAATGACCTGCATAGCTGAGTTCTGTAGGCACTTTTGTTTAATTAGTTGACTCTTTGAGACAGTGAGCAGTCCTAGTCCATAATCAATAACTGAAAGAATCAAGTGCTGATAAAGTGTGAAAAGTATTCTCTGCTCTATGTCCATTGCAATCAGAATCTTAAGTGCACTGAGTCACAACCATCTGCACATGTCAAGGTCCTGTCAAATGTGATTCCCCAATACTTTAGTTGCTCTCTCTGTTGAGGTTTCCACTATCTATCTTGAGATCTGTGACATTAGCTCAGTTGTCTAGAGATAGAACACCACAAAACACACCTTTTCTGGATAGACAACAGCTCTATTTTGATTCACCAGGCCATTCCCTGTGGTAGTCCCAGGGCCAATGAGAATACAGGACAGCTGCTTTCCAATTCACCAACTAGGGACTGCCCCCCACCCCCCTCTTAATCAGTAAAGTAAAATGTCACATCTTACTCTATTGTACACACCCGGGAGATCCAGCGCTGCCCCATCGCTTCCTGTCCCTTCTGAAACCCTTCATAAATGTCAAAGGCAAAAGAGGCTGCATTTGACCAGGCATCTTTTTTATTGGCCTGTAGCTTCCCAGACCTCTTGGCAAAATGTTTTATTACCTCCAATATCATTCACAAATTTCCCATTTTACTTTTTTGGCCTCTGCAGCACAGCACTTGAATACCTCCAGGTTATCTATTTTTTTAAGATTTTCTGTTGTCTCCATTTCCTCTCACGAGCTTTTGTGTCTGTCACATTCTGTAAAGCTGCTTCAATTTTCTTTGCCTTCTATGCCCATTATATTTCTGGAGTACACTATGGGAGGTGTGAAAGCTTATTCCAGTGAAAGTTAGAGAACCACTAAAGAGGCGGTTTGAAGCTAAATGCTTTTAGAACAAATACTTAAAGGAAATAAACATTAAGAAGGATGAATTCCAGAACGTGCTAAAATTGAGATAAATATTTCTAAAATCGCTAGTGTAAAACACAAGATGGTGTGAGACACAAGATGATAATAGGTTTCATGCATATCCTGACAAGCAGACAGAGGATCACCAATAAAAAAGGCAGTGATATGGGAAACAAATATACAGCACAACAGCTTTTATACAGGCTATCGGCCTCCTGATATAAGTTTTCTAACAGAAGGATAGAAGAAGAAGGAAACAAATGATCTGAAGAAGCAAGGACATTCATGAGAATCATTATGAACAACTCTGTAGAGAAGACTGATGGCCCCAACCTAAGTATAAATGGCGCAGCAGGATGATGAATCAATACACTGATGATGTATATGGAAAACCAGGAAAAGCACAATTAGAAGAATGTGCATTTATAAGACTGTTGGATAAAAATATTCAATACTTCTTTACAACAATAATCATAACTGATCACCAACTCAATTAATGCATGAACACAATAGTCAATACTATTGTCTGAATTATGAATCCCAAAAAAATTCAAAAACCTTTGACATCTTACTTCTCTCTTGGTTTTAATTAAGAATATATTTTCACATTGCTAAAAAGGGAAAGTGTCTATGCTACTGGAAGAGATTGATTCTCATTAAACTTAACATTCATAGTTTAAGTTAACTAGACTAGTGTAGTGCATTATTTGAAACATGTAGTTAGGCTCTAAACTATGGCCGGTAGACAACAGTAGATGGACGGTTAGTCAGAGTTCAGTCCCTTGGCTACAGTGCAATTACGGACTGGAAAAAGCATGAATCAGAAAACACAGGTCGACATGCCTGGCAAACCCCGCGCTGTGACTCAAATTAGCGACCGCGTTCAATTACCGCTTCTTGCGACGCATTATGGAGTGGACTAGAGGGAACGACACAAGTGACATAATTACTGTGTGTTGGCGATAGACAGCGTGCAGTGCCCTACTGCCATCATACGGTTACGGTTTGGGTTAGGTTTAGAGTTATGGTTAGGGTTGCTACTATGAGTCTGTGCGAAGACGAGATGCGGCGACACTAACCGTAACCCTAACCCACACCCTAAACCACACCCTACCCCTAACCCAAACCGTATGATTGTAGCAGGGGGGCAGTGCACGCTCTGACGCTGTCTATCGCCAACACACACTAATTATGTCATTTGTTTCGTTCCCTCCTTTCCACTCCATAATTGCACGGCAGCAAGGGGACAGAACTCTGACTAACCGCCCGTCTACTGTTGTCTACCGGCCGTAGTTTAAAGGAGAGCCTGTAGTTGATACTATGCCTATGTAGTGTGGCAAACGATTTTATCATGTTTAAAATTCTAATCTACAACACAGTTACTGGTATTGCAGTTATTATTAAAATAATATCTGTAAGTGAGTTTTGATTTTGAAGTTAACACAGAAAAGCTGAAATGAGAGATAAAATATAAAAAAAAACCTTTCATTTCTCAAGGCTTGGCTTATTGTCTGTAACACAGTAAACATACCTACATGAACAATGGAAATAACTAAGCTTTCTAGTCTAAATCCATATATTTATTGTACTACTATGAACTCAAAGAGCGGCTAAGATATTTCATCCAGTTAGTTTAAAAAGCAAAAAAAATGTATGTATATTATTATATGGCGAGTTTTTCAAAGTTGTCTAAATCTCTTGAACAGGAAGTCGGATTTACGATTTACATTGTGATTAAATTACTGCCCTATTTTTGGCGCAACAAAAATAGTTTGCAAGAATCAATAGTTACCTTCTGCTACATCTTCCTCTATAGAACCTTTCACTTGAGAAAAGCACCAAGTTAATTCAGCGCCGTTACCTGAGAAAAGAAAAACAAATTGTTTTTTTTTAATGGTGTCTGATCTGATCGTTTAAAATTACAATCAACAATATTGCACCGAACGTCGAGTTTGTTCAAACTACTCACCAGCCATGTCCTCGTTCAAATGAACATACATGCGGCAGCGACCAAACTGATTAAACTTTCCTGAAAAGTCGCTGGGCAATTGTAAATAGCAGATATTCCGATGTTATAGGATTTGCCTATCTATCCATTTTTTCAACCACTGTGCAAATTCAACATGGCGAACTTCGCCGTAAAAATTCGTGACGTCATGACGTGGAGCATTGTGGGTGCTCGTTTTGGCGATCGAAACAGAAGAGAACCTGCAATTCTGTATCTTTATTGAATTTTCACCAACAAAATCGATCTAGGTGTTATCTTTCCAGACATTTACAAGTAAACGTTAAAGGTGACTGAAATGTCATTACACTGCATTCTAAAAATATAGGTCACAGACAGCGCTGGTGTGTAGATATTTTGTCTGCGATTTTCTGCGACACAAAATAAAGGCACAGAGACCCAGGTAGTCAAGCTCTGCGTACTTTTAGTTTCTCGGAAAGTTTTAGAAAATCGACACACAATTCATTGATAGAAATTTAAAGAATTTAAGAAACAGTTTCACGGTGGTTTTTCGGGTATATTTTATGTATACAGACTACAAGAACGAAAATATGTACTTTTACGACGTACATACAGTTTGTGAATTAATTCTCAACAAGCATGTGTATATACTAAACAATTTGTTAACACGTCTTTCTTTGTTCTTTTCGTTCGGTTTCGTATGCTTAGGTGAACCCGTCAGATGGGCTGCCTCTATGAATGAGTTAAGAAAAGATTTACTTCACAGCACTCCGGGCACATCCATAGGCGCTCAGATTCCAAAATCCTTAGAACGTCCTATCTCTCTAAGGGCAATGACAATGTCTGCGTGATCCAGAGGCCGGTCATCTTCAGTTAATGCAACACCTGCCAGTCTTCAGCTCTTTCATTCCCAACAACGCCTACATTCCCTGGGACGAATATGAAAGTAACTGTACACACAGGAGAGCTTTGCACTCACTCAAATCACTGTTTTCATAACCAGTCTGCCTCGACCCGCAGAATCATGCTCAAAGAATCACTCAGCGCACACAAGCGGGAATAGTCCTTTGATTCTAACCATATGAAAGCTTGTGTCACCGCCATCACCTCCATAGTCATGCTGCTAGAGTCATGGAAAAGGCACTGCTGGCTTCTTGAACTGTTCTGCCTGAAGAGCGAGCTGTAAATGCCCATGTACTCTTATGTCCTCGTATAACGGACCGTCCGTGAAGATCTCCATATCTGTCTAATCTTACTTGTCACTAAGCGTGCATACCTCGGCATTAACAGCAGTTCGATTCTGCTTCCGACAACTCCTATCGAGCGTCACGACAAAGGAGAATGCGAGATTTGACGCTTTAGAATCTGGTGTCCATTCCTCACCTACATGGATATCTGTAAGGCTGCCCATTCCTCACCTGGATGGATATCTGTAAGGCTGCAAACGTGCATGATGTCATCCTCTGCCCTACCCAGCCATGATTTACCCCCTTTGTGCATATTGCTCCGGTTATGCCTATTGCCATTTTTATTGAATTCGCATGTCAGCTGCAGGTCTCTATGCATTCGCATGTCAGCTGCAGGTCCTGCATGGTTCCCCAAAGCTTGCTCTGCACATTTGCTCCTGAGACCAGGTTTCGCTTCATAGTTGTTGAGTACAGTGGGCAGGCCTGCAGAATGTGCTTATGTGTTTGTGGTCTGTTTAACATGTACACTGTGGAGACTGTATACTTAACTTTATGCATGTGGTAGTTAAACCTGCAGTGCCCTGTTCTTAGACGAAAAATTGTTGTATATTATTTTCTGTTGACGATGTCTTGTTGATGTTTACTGATGATTTGTTCTCTCCACAACCCCTTTGTGTTTTCTCTTGACAAGTAAGCTGATTTATGGTAATAAAAAGTTTATCCTTTATTCATTTGTGTGTATCAAAGTCTGTCCGCCAACTAATTTAATGTTATGCCACTGTGGACTCCAACGAAGAATGATTTGGTTGTTTTCCGAGTCTTTCCAGTAGTGATCCTTCTTTTCTTTGCTCCTGTCCCCCCCCCCCTTCCCCCCATCCCAATGAGTATTTTATAAAAGTACTCTAGTCATGCTGTTGGCTGGTTATCCAAGTGTGGACCTACCAGTCACCAGACAACCCCCTTCCCAACACCCCACCCCCCCCCCCCCCCCACACACACACAACACAATCACAAAAGTCAAGTGAATTTAAATGTGACCCAGCTCTTCACATTTTATATGCTGGGGTATCAAAAAGTTAAAAAAAAAAAGATAAATAAAACCAAAGAGAAATTAGAAACTGGTCAGTTGGCGCGTTAACAAAAGATATATATTTAATAGAACATTTTTATATCGCCAACAGCGTTCCTCAGTCGGACACTTACTTCATCATCATAGACACCTTACACTGAAGGTCATTGAGTCACCAGTTGCAGCTGACTGTCCAATCAGATCCCTCCATCTCTGTCTGTCAGATGCCATGGACAATGTTTGCATACGGAGGCCTGTCCAGTAACTCAAGTTCGGTATCTATGTTCTTTTTCTGGTCTACCTCTTCTCCTCAACCCCCACTACTGAGCCCTGTAGTATTGATTTGGGAAGATAGATATTTTTACATTCCCGTATCATTGCATTTCCCGCCTTTTCTGTGTCTTTAGATGTTAATTAGAGTAAAAGTCGAGAGTATAAACTTCATTGTACTGGATGCTATCCTGTACTGTTCGGTCGCCCTCAGCAGAACGGCTAATCTTCTGTTGTCAGTCCCGAACAAAGCACGAATTCCATAGCTCCGGCGACGATTCCCCAGGAATCTCTGTCCAGTGTGCTAAGTAATGATACGGCGAACTTTGTCGTCACGTAAGGTACTCATTTCTGCCCTGACTTCAGTAGATAGGTTCACATCTATAAACAGAATCCACTAAAAATTAAAAGAATGTCCATAAGAATGTTATGTCCAGAAAAATAAAATTTAATCTCAGTCGTCTCTAGCCCCCCTCCCCCCTCGTTTAAAAAAACCATTAAAAAAAATAAACCATACAGATAAATGAATGGGAAATATATGTGGTGTGGAAAGGGGAAACTAAAAGACCACAGTCAACACAGATACTAAGTAAGAGGGACAAACATAATAATAGATTTCATATCAAAAGACTTTTATTTAAAAAATAATAACAGTGGGATGGAATTTTTCGTTATTTTGAAGCCGCACCCTGGCTCTTGCCCTGTCATAAATATGACCTAATGGGCGAACGCGGTTTCCGGGACCTCTCCACGGATGATCCTTATCCGAATAGTGGCACTTTGTGTCAAATCGTTTATAAAGAAACACTTCTTACTGCAGAAGAAAGCTTTTATTTTTGCTAATTTTGTTTTCAGGGAATTTATAAAGAAAGACGTCTTACTGCAGCAAATAGCTTTTGATTTTGTTGTCAGTCTTCTTTTGTTCCGGCGATTGAATGAACGATACAAAAAAACAAAAACAAAATGAATATGTACATACGAACTTTAATCTTATAGGCCCCCCCCCCCCACACACACACACATATATATATATGTTAACATTCTTATGGACATTCTTTTAATTTTTAATGGATTCTGTTTATAGATGTGATCATATATATGATTCTTTTCACGCGTTTAGGTGCACTGGACATATGGGAAAAGCACCCATTTTTTACAGAACAATCTTAACTGTGGATCTGGCCCAAGGGAGCCACATTGCAAGAGAAGCTTTGGGTGACCGGTGGCGACATTAAACGCACAATCCTATTTGTGACCCAGACAGGACTCAATGTTTAGCATGACTGATGCCGAACGCAGAAGAAGAAGAAAATACAGAACAATCGGCACTAATGTGGTCAGCATTACGATGGCCGTCTTTACTTCCCCAGGACATACATCCTGGTACCCATTTTAGTATTGGTCGACCTGTGACGCCTTACACCATGACAAAAATCCACGCAGCCAGAAGTGGGTTTCGATCACAGTATGTTGAAATTACGAGTCGAACTCGCAAAGCCTAAGCCACGGACGCCACTCATAATTTTATACATGTATGTGTGTATATATATATATATAGAAATATATATAGAAATATATATATATATAGAAATATATATATATATATATATATATATATATATATATATATATATATATATATATATATATATATATATATATATATATATATATATATATATATATATATATATATATATATATATATATATATATATATATATATATCTATATATATATATATATCATCATAAGGTGACTTGCCGACTGGCGTGGGCGATCATGCCTCTCTATAATCTGCGATCTCCTGCAGCATGTATCAGTTCGTGTGCCGACACACCTCCATGCCATGCAACAGGACTGTCAAGGTACTATTAGCCATCGGATTTTGGGGTTCATACTGAAGGGAGGATCTGAGCACCTTTGGACATGTCCGGAGTGCAATGATGATAACCCAACTAACCAAGTAACTAACTAACTAACAGGACTGTCAAGGATCGTCTCTCGTTGTCTTCACCTATCTCTCCTTCCACAGATCTTTCCAGTGGTCACAAGATGTTCTATTTTCCCTCTTCTCATAACATGGCCGAAAAATGATGACTGTCACCTTCTGATGTGTATGATAAGTTGTCTTCGGGCTCCAGCCTCTTTCAAAACCTCTTGGTTGCTCTTTTTGGCTGTCCAAGGTATTCTAAGCATTCTTCTGTAAAACCACATCTCCGAGGCCTCCAGAAATTGTTTGGCCTGCCTAACGATTGTCCAGGATTCACAGCCATATGTTAAAACTAGATGTATGTAGCAAGCAAGAATTCTTTTTCTAACTCTCAATAACAAGGATATATTACACAAGATGTTTTTCATTTTATAAA